TCTGCTCTCCTCCTTTCCTCATCCCTTCCCCTCTCTTCCTCCCCTGCTCCCCTCCTCCCCTCCTCCCCTGAAGTGGCTGAGCAGTGGCAGGGAGCCATACATACAATGGGTGACAGTCCTTATCAGTAAACATTGGGAGAGAAAAGGGATATGTATGAGGGTAACCACTGTATTACCTCCCCTGTGGAATGACAGGTATGCCATGTCATTTTATTGACTGTCCAGACCAGTGGAGACTGCTGAGGGGAGGACGGCTCATGATAATGGATGGAATGGAGCCAATGGAATGGCATCAAACACATGGAAACCATGTGCACAGGTCCTGAGTTACCTGAGGGGCATCTACAAGTCAACAAGGGACGTCTCATCTGCAAACGCAGACTTTCCAGTTAGTAGAAAAGGCACTTAACTTTTCCTACTGGCACTGACTTTTCTGATAAACACTTTGTTGAGGGAAAATGTACATGATACGATTGTGATGTGTTGTTGTCTCACTTAACTATCTTAAGATTAATGCACTAATTGTAAGTCGCTCTGGATAACAGCATCTGCTAATTGAGAAAACATTAAAACATTTAAATGTAAAATGTTAGTATACATCAGGGCTGTTCAATGTCAGTCCTGGAGGGCCGAAACACTTATGGTTTGTGTTTCTACCTGGTAGTTAATTGCACTCCCCTGGTGTTCCAGGTCTGAATTAGTTGATTAAGATGAAAACCAGAAGTGTTTCAGGCCTCCAGGACCAACATTGAACAGCCCTGGTATACATGTATGTGTTTGAAAAGAAGGTGTCCCTCTCAATGAGTCTGTCACTTACATTCTGAGGTCAAATATGCCCTTTCTACTCCTCATTCTCCACAAGTGACCACAGCTATCATCCATTGTGTTGCAGATGCTCTGTTGTGTACTCTGGTGAGATAAAATAATTGCAGAAGGATCCAATGTCCTTGCATTCCATCTAAAGTACATTTACCTGTGTAGATGGCAGCAGACGAGTATGGACAATGTTGGAGAAGAGAACTCTTGCCTATGGGTCAATGTAGTTTATGATAACCTCTACACAGCTCTTTCCCCATCCAGCCCTCCGTGGATGGGGCCTGCTTCAGCTCACTGGTCTGTAAACCAGTCTAAATAGTTTTTATTTTATTTTTGGGGTCTAAATAATTTAGCATACGCTACTTTCCACTTTGGTCACATTGGTGGAATTTCCTTCTTCATTCCCTCTTCTTACCACAAACCTCTTTATTTACTGCAACAACTAAGACTGTAGCTTTTTTCCACTATTTTTTTCCACTATTAAACCCTTAAATCACGGGTGTGCCTCAGCAAGTCACTCTCTCTGGGAACCTGTAGGTTGACCCAGATTTGATATGTGGTCTATTTTATTGAGGGTGACTTCTGATAGGGTTTATTTCTGACTCTAAGACCTTTGTAGAGTTTCAGCTCACCTGGAGAACAGAATATTCAGGTTCTCTGGCCTGCTTGGCTGAGATTTTGGTGCCTTGTCTGACATTCTAGGAGTATATGGAGTGTTGTGTCCGGGAGCGGATGGCATTGGCTTCATCTGCATTAAACCTACTCCAGACCGCTGCCCAATTCCCAATGCCCACTGCCCACGGCCGACCACCCAGCCACTCCAGGTCTGTGACAGATCTGCCCAACGTTATTTACTGGAAATAGCCATTTGCCATTCACTGGCCCAGCTGTTTGCCACTTTACTAAGGTTTTTATTCCTGTCCTGGTGATGTCATACCGTTGCCTGCAATATCCAGCTCACTCAAAGACGAAGTTTCCGTTAAGAAATCCCCACTTCCCCATTGAACAACGGTCAGTATGTTCTCTGTACTACAGGTAGCTATTTTTCCAGTGATCAGAAGTGTTGATGAACGGTGTTCACTTTTCCTCTGAGCACGAAGGTCCAAACAGATGCCAGCTAAATGTAATCAATCTACCTCGCTCTCTGTAACGTGAACTGATAGTGGGCATTTCCACTGAAGCTGATAGCATTTTTGTTTTTGTCACTCTCATCCATGATTGAAAGCTTTCGATTTCACAGCCATCACTGTTTCTTGTAGACCATTTATACTGAACAAAAATATAAACGCAACATGTAAACATGTAAAGACTGCAGAAATGTTCCATATGCACAAAAAGCTGCACAAATTTGTTTACATCCCTGTTTGTGAGCATTTCTCCTTTGCCAAGATAATCCATCCACCTGACAGGTGTGGCATATCAAGAAGCTGATTAAACAGCATGATCATTACACGGGCCACTCTAAAATGTGCAGTTTTGTCACACAACACAACGCCACAGATATCTCAAGTTTTGAGGGAGCGTGCAATTGACATGCTGACTGCAGGAATGTCCACCAGAGCTGTTGCCAGAGAATTTAATGTTAATTTCTCTACCATACCATAAGCCGCCTCCAACGTTGTTTTAGAGAATTTGGCAGTACGTCCAACCGGCCTCACAACCACAGACCACATGTAACCACGCCAGCCCAGGACCTCCAAATCCGGCTTCTTCACCTGCGGGATCGTCTGAGACTAGCCACCCGGACAGCGGATGAAACTGTGGGTTTGCACAACTGAAGAATTTCTGCACAAACTGTCAGAAACAGTCTCAGGAAAGCTCATCTGCGTGCTTGTCGTCCTCACCAGGGTTTGCAGTTCGGCGTCGTAACCGACTTCAGTGGGCAAATGCTCACCTTTGATGGCCACTTGCACGCTGGAGAAGTGTGCTTTTCACGGATGAATCCCAGTTTCAACTGTATCGGGCAGATGGCAGACAGCTGGTATGGTGTCGTGTGGGCGAGCGGTTTGCTGATGTCAACGTTGTGAACAGAGTGCCCCATGGTGGAGGTGGGGTTATGGTATGGGCTGGCATAAGCTACGGACAATGAACACAATGACATTTTATCAATGGCAATTTGAATCCACAGAGATACCGTGACGAGATCCTGAGGCCCATTGTCATGCCATTCATCCGCCACCATCACCTCATGTTTCAGCATGATAATGCACGGCCCCATGACGCAATGATCTGTACACAATTCCTGGAAGCTGAACATTTCCCAGTTCTTCCATGGCCTGCATACTCACCGGACATGTCAGATGATCGACGTGTACGACAGCGTGTTCCAGTTCCCGCCAATATCCAGCAACTTCGCACAGCCATTGAAAGGAGTGGGACAACAAATCTATAGACTAGGACCTAATTTATTTATTTCAATTGACTGATTTCCTTATATGAACTGTAACTCAGTAAAATCGTTGAAATTGTTGCATGTTGCGATTATGTTTTTGTTCAGTATTTGGCTTTCCTTGTCATTAATTGACTTCATATTTGTTTGTTGTCATCTTTATGAAGAAGGCATTTGCCCTTTATGGCACTCCACATTTGATCCGTATCAGGGATAAACAATAAACAAACAAATTGTCACTCATTGGCTTCCTGTTCTCCTCTCCACGTACCAGACACAGAAACAATTCACTGTATGTTGCCTATTCACAACACTGCCATTTACAGGATCTAATGCATACCCACTGGGCACACACTGGTTGAATCAACGTTGTTTCAACGTTATTTCAATGAAATTATTTTCAACAAATAAGATCACCGCTGAAAAAGGTCTGATGCAAAAAATATCTGATGTGATTGATCAAAAGACCAATTAGTGGAAAAAATATCAGAATTGGTCTTTCTGTCTAAACGCAACCTAAATCACTTTAGACACAGGAAAACTTCACATGCTGAGTTTCACATGTGAGTATGATAATGATAGTCAGTGGCAGCCATTTCAACATCCCGACTTTATTGAGTCCCTCTCTGGCTGCAATGTTGTCATTCATTCATTCATTTAATGTTGTCGTTTAGGAGGGGTCATATACTGTAGATGTTTGCATTTGTGTTTTGTGTATTGTCCTAGCACAGTACGAGAACCCGGTACTGGAGCCCCACACCTCTCAAAAGAATGCAGAACATCAGCCCCTCTCCGCTTACCCCTGGGTGTTCCATTTCATTTTGATAAATGGTTGTGATTTGGGATGTCCGCTGAGAGCGATGGGCTGCAGCTCACTGAGAGAAAAGAGCGCTTGCCGTGTTCAAACATGTGACACCACAACAGGGGAAAGGATAAAATGATAAAACAGAGGAATGGGAGCCGGGATGATGGGTAATTATGGAGTTGCCAGAATACAGCTCTTTCATTGATGTCAGGGGGTCAAATCTTAATCCCTTCTTCCCATGGCATTAATCTGTTGCTTTTGTCTGGCCAGTTTAGCCAGCTCTCCCCTGTTGGCATCTCTATGTCAGATGAATCATTGGATGCCAGAGGGAATCTGCATTTCTTTAGAGCTGTATTAGTTTTCCACTGAGGGCACTTGATGGTGTTTTGCAACTGTAGTGTCCCAGGGGGAAGGCAAGTGGATTTATAGCTGACCTTCAAAATATTCCCACGTCATTGTTAGGAATTTGATTGTTGAAAACATGTACCGTAAAGCAATAACACACATATACCTGTACACACACACACTTTTTAAGGAGTTGTCTGGGTGATAACTTTAGGCTAAGGTTGACTTCTATTGTGCATCCCTCTTGAAATTTGATTCACTCTGTCACATTTGAGAATTGGTCTTCACTTTATCTCTATATGTTATGTGTAATGGGCTTATATATGACTTATTCCCACTGTTTCTGGCTCTCACCATGCAAATACACAGAGAGAGAGAGGGAGCGAGAGAGAGAGAGATATATAGAGATTTAAACAAATGCAGTCACTCAGCAGCACAAAGAGCAGCTCCTCCCTCTGAGTTGAGACTCCACCCCCAGGATCCAGGTCCCTCCCTCCCTGTACAGAATGGTTATATTACCTTGCAAGTGCAGTGCGGCGAGTTCACAACACTGCAGACAGCAGCAGCAGCCTGCCTGCGCTCAGGGTTTACTACACCACAGACAGGTGTGACTTCATCTGAATGAGGACTGAATGAGATTTACACAAACCAGCATCTGTAGTTTATCCTGAGCTCTGTGAGGTGTCAGCTGCCTCTCAGCCTTCTGTTCCACTCTCAGTCCATTCAGAAGTTTAAGATCTTTGGTGGCAACTTGAGAGAGTACTGTTCTGTTGGACCTCTTGTATCTGTGGTGATACATTAGGGTAGCGTCTGCATTGGAACAGCAGCTATGGAAAGAAGCATGAATTTTGACGAGATTCTTTCTCATATCGGTGGCTTTGGCAAGTTCCAGAAGATCCTGTATGTGTGGATTTGCCTCCCCCAGATCCTTCTGGCGTTCCACATGCTGATATCCGTCTTCACGGGGGCCGTCCCCCCTCATCTCTGTCGCTCCACCAACACCACCTGGCCCTTGGCCGCCAGCTCAGGCGCATCCAACTTCAACTTCAGCCTGGTGACGGGCCCAGATGGTGACCCTGACCTGTCCTGCTCTGCCCCTGGGGGGGTTCCTGGCACCCCGCTAGCCCAGTTGAATCACAGCACCGCCCTGGCCCTTAGCGATGGCCACGACACCGGGGGTTGCCGAGGGAGATGGGAATTCAGCAAGGAGACCTTCCAAAGCACCGTGGCAACCGAGGTGAGTAAGTGGTGGTGCAGTAGAACAGACATGACGGGCAGGACAAGCGCTCGTTCTCTGTCTGGGGGGCTGGGGGGCTCAAACGTGATCAATACCCTCTGTTCCACATTCTCCTCTGCAGTCTGTAATGTGGAACTCATTTTTCCCCAGAAGCATTTTCGCTACTATGTAACAGTGTAGCGGTGGTGATATCTGAGCCGGAGCTAGTCTGGGTTGCTGGAGAGTGGAGGGTTGTGAGATGGACTCCTGTGGTGCAGGCGTCCTCTCTCCCTGGCCAGTGCAGTTCACTCCCCCCTTGACACACTATTACATGTGGAGCAGGGTTGGGGGGGGGGGGGGGGCTATGTAACTGGAATGCACTGATTGGGTCCCGTGCTGCTTGGGACGGACCCTCACGTGCCGTGTGTCAACCCTCACACAGCGACAGTAACCATAGTGGAATGGTCCCAGCCATCAGAATCTGTTATGATTTACAAACACTAGGATCAGACCTCCACTGTGAGGCCCACTGTTGGAGGCTGTCTTTATGATTGATAATAACTCATATTTTCTGTCACATTCCACACTGATTGATGTCAGAGTCCTGAAGGACGTTTAGATGGAATCTGTTGAGAAGCGAGGTGCTCACAGGGGCAAAGGAGTATTACACCACAGTCAAAATACAGTTACAGTGTTGTACAAGTGTGAACCTTCACAGTGTAATAGTCTATGTATAGTCAATCAAGGACAAAACACTGGTAACAGGGATATAGTATAATTTGAAATCTGAAATCTTATACCTAGTACATGGTTTATAAAGAATGTAGGTGAACATACAGATGGGCTTGCCAATATGATGTAGCTTTTAACTAATTTGAACCCTCTGTCCTTGACAGTGGGATCTGGTGTGTGAAAATGCCAATCTGAACAACATTGGTTCCTCAATCTACATGTTTGGTCTTCTGGTTGGCGCTGTGCTGTTTGGTTCCTTAGCTGATAAGTAAGTATAAAACAACTATGCGTCTTCCACCATTGATACTTATGTATGTTTTATCAAATGTATAATTAGCTTGGTTCAGATACAATGAAGAGGATCCATGAAACATGTATTGTAGGTAGGTCACAAATGTAATAGAGGGTCATGATAAAACAAATATAAAGAGGGAGAAAGTCAAAACAAAAATGTAGCTCAATGAACACTTTGCAGCTTGTATTGCTATGTTCATTTGCTAGTGTATTTTATTTGTGTATCTAGGATTATTCATAGAAAGTACACAGACAAAATGTCTGCACAGACTATTTCAGTACTAGCTGTCTTATTCATTGATATTTATAGGCAGCGGCAGTGATTTTATTTGAAATGCGCTCTTGTTGGCCAGTCAAGTCAAAAGTATTTGAAGCATTTAACACTGGGTATTTTAAAGAGTGCAACTAATTTGCAGCACGTCCCACTCCCTAACAGTCCAATTCATTCTCAACACACCCGTACAGTACCGTGAGTGAGGACACCTCAAGTGAAACAAGTTCTATTCATTTGAAAAGGTATAATCGCTCTCTTTCTTGTTTCAGGTTTGGACGCAGGAACATAATCCTGGTTGGTTTGGCTATTCAGTCAACCTTTGGGGTTGGTGCTGCTTTCGCCCCAAATTTCTACATTTATGTCTTTCTGCGCTTTGTGGTTGGAACCACTATTTCTGCTGTCATCATGAACGCATTTGTTTTAGGTTCGTCTCTCTCTCGTTCCCTCTCACTGTCTCTCTCATACACACCACACACATACACACACACATTCATAAAGTTATTGACTTGTGATCTGAGAAAAAATGAAGATCATAAGGTGTTCGTTTTATACTCTCTATACTGTTCTGTTTGTTCCCCCCAGGCACAGAGTGGACAGGATCAAAGCACCGGATGCTAGCTGGGATCATCACCGACTACTTCTTTGGGTTCGGCTACATCACCCTGGCAGGCCTGGCCTACCTCATCAGAGACTGGCGCAAGCTCCAGCTGGCCATCTCAGCACCAGGCTTCCTCTTCATCTTCTACATCTGGTGAGTCACTGACCGCCTGCAGCACGCCTGTAGCCTGAAATACAAACGGAATATCACTCACTTTCAATATCTTCAGTGAAGTGAAAGGATAATTCAGTTTGGATTCCAGGCTAGCAAGCCAACTCACTAAAGAAGAAATGAAAGAGAATGAAGAGGAACCCTCTTTTTTCATCAATAATCAAAACCAGATGGGTCATTGAATTCCATTTGGGAATACCTAAAGTATATATAAGTTGCAAAATTGTGTGCATAGTACCAAATTATTTTATTTTTTTGTTGATATTTTAGTACTAGTATTGGCCTACATCCTACATCATGACTAAATGTATCTTCGTGTTTATATATCTTGTTCCCATGTTCCCATGTTGTTTATGTGTGTGGGTCAGTTTAACACCTTTCCTCTAAATTCTTAGGGCCCTACCGAAGTCGGCTCGGTGGCTAATGGCCAACCAGAGGAACGAGGAGGCCATGAATCTGATCAGGAAAGCTGCTCTGATGAACGGCAAACCCATGCAGGAGGACACAGAGATATGTCAGGTGTGGTTACGCATGCCCACGCCCACACACACACACACACACATAACTGGACTCAGGAGGACCTTGAGGATCAGGTGTGTTTTTTTTGTGTGAAGCTAATACAGTATCATTAACTTTGTCCCAAGGCTAATTGCTAAAGAGAGAAAGAGCAGGCTGGTGGACGAGATTAAGCTATCATTGATCATTATGAAATTCCAACAGCCTCGATTAAAGCACTTGCAAAACAATGCTTCTATGTACAAGCAATGTTGAGAGCAATACCGCCAAAGCCTGAGCATATTAAAGCGCTTTGCATGTTATCCCTCTATGCTGTGTAGGCATGTGGGACAAGCAAATTAGATGAGTTGCATTGGTGTGCTTTTTGCATTGATGAGCTCATTCCTTTTCTGAAAAGCATCATGGTGAAATGCTCAGAGCTAATATGCTCTTTTTATTTTCCAGGGGTACAAAGACATGGTGAAGATGGAGGAGAGGGAAAAATACACAGTCATTGATCTGGTCCGTACACCAAGAATGAGGAGGAATTCTTTGATCATGTTTTACCTGTGGTGAGTTGGCAGTAGAACATTGTCAGGTCACATTTCTTCGTGGGGCAAACATGAATTGATCAAATCTACTGTATCAACTACCACTTTATTGAGGTTTCTGTTTCTGCCAAACATTCATAACATTCATGTATCAAACACACTAATTATTTGATCTACTCTTTCCGTTATGGGTTGATTCACTTGATGTGGTATGCCAATGGAGTTCTCAGAACTGTTTCTCAAGGCCTCCTCAGGTCATTATGCTTGCTGTGTAAGCCATTTGAATTGCAGTGTATCACTCACTGAGGCAACACTGGAAGACTATTATTTGAATGGGAATACTTTACATAGCTTCCCAGGCACTGAGAAGTGAGTGTTAATGTAGAAAACATTGTCAATAGATATCACTATTGTAAAATGTTGCACTATTTTCCGTATCAAATCCAGTTTACAAGAGGTATATACTGTAATATTACTCTGTTAGAAAGTCCCTTGATTTTGCCAGGGTTCGATTATCCTGTCTGTGGCTAGAGAGACATTGCTGCTTCCCAGACATCTTTCCACTCTGCATGGTAAACTTCTGTCAAACCAGTGGAAGAAGGGAGTCCTTGTTTCACTGCAGTGACAGCAGTTTTATTAATCCTTCCCTTACCTCACCAGTGTTTCCTCTACCATTCCATCTCTGTGTCTATCCAGGTTTGTCAACGTGCTGGTCTATTACGGCCTGTCCCTGAACATCTCTGACTTTGGGATGAACATCTACCTGACCCAGCTGATCTTTGGCCTGGTGGAGATGCCCGCCCGGACCATCACCCTCTTTACCCTGAACCGCTCCAGGAGGATATCCCAGCTAGCCTTCCTTGCTGTGGGAGGCCTAGCCTGCCTGCTAACCATCTTCATTCCTGATGGTATGGACCATTCCATAGAAAACTCTGCCGTGTGTCAATACGTCTTTAAGATGTTTATACACATCCTGACCTACACTACAGTTCAAAAGTTTGGGGTCACTTAGAAATGTCCTTGTTTTCCATGAAAACATACATTAAATGAGTTTGAATAGGAAATATAGCAAAATGCATAGGAAATGTAGTCAGTGACAAGGTTAGAAATAATGATTTTTAATTGAAATAATAATTGTGTCCTTCAAACTTTGCTTTCGTCAAAGAATCCTCCATTTGCAGCAATTACAGCTTTGCAGACCTTTGGCATTCTAGTTGTCAATTTGTTGAGGTAATCTGAAGAGATTTCACCCCATGCTTCCTGAAGCACAAGTTGGATTGGCTTGATATGCATTTCTTACGTACCATACGGTCAAGCTGCTCCCACAACAGCTCAACAGGGGTTGAGATCCGTTGACTGTGCTGGCCACTCCATTATAGACAGAATACCAGCTGACTGCTTCTTCCCTAAATAGTTATTGCATAGTTTGGAGCTGTGCTTTGGGTCATTGTCCTGTTGTAGGAGGAAATTGGCTCTAATCAAGCGCCATCCACAGGGTATGGCATGGCGTTGCAAAATGGAGTGATAGCCTTCCTTCTTCAAGATCCCTTTTACCCTGTACAAATCTCCCACTTTACCACCACCAAAGCACCCCCAGACCATCACATTGCCTCCATCATGCTTGACAGATGGCATCAAGCACTCCTCCAGCATCTTTTCATTTGGTCTGCATCTCACAAATGTTCTTCTTTGTGATCCTAACACCTCAAACTTCGATTCGTCTGTCCATAACACCTTTTTCCAATCTTCCTCTGTCCTGTGTCTGTGTTCTTTTGCCCATCTTAATATTTTATTTTTATTGGCCAGTCTGAGATATGGCTTTTTCTTTGCAACTCTGCCTAGAAGATCAGCATCCCGGAGTCGCCTCTTCACTGTTGACGTTGAGACTGGTGTTTTACAGGTACTATTTAATGAAGCTGCCAGTTGAGGACCTGTGAGGCATCTGTTTCCCAAACTAGACACTCTAATGTATTTGTCCTCTTGCTCAGTTGTGCACCAGGGCCTCCCACTCCTCTTTCTATTCTGGTTAGATCCAGTTTGTGCTGTTCTGTGAAGGGAGTAGTACACAGCGTTGTACCAGATCTTCAGTTTCTTGGCAATTTCTCGCATGGAATAGCCTTCATTTCTCAGAACAAGAATAGACTGGCGAGTTTCAGAAGAAACGTGCCATTGGAACACAGGACTGATGGTTGCTGATAATGGGCCTCTGTATGCCTATGTAGATATTCAATAAAAAATCAGCCGTTTCCAGCTACAATAGCCATTTACAACATTAACAATGTCTACACTGTATTTCTGATCAATTTGATGTTATTTTAATGGACAAAAAAATTGCCCCAAACAATCGGAAAGGGGATTCATCAGAGAAAATGACTTTACCCCAGTCCTCAGCAGTCCAATCCCTGTACCTTTTGCAGAATATCAGTCTGTCCCTGATGTTTCTCCTGGAGAGAAGTGGCTTCCTCGCTGCCATTCTTGACACCAGGCCATCCTCCAAAAGTCTTCGCCTCACTGTGCATGCAGATGCACTCACACCTGCCTGCTGCCATTCCTGAGCAAGCTCTGCACTGGTGGTGCCCCGATCCCGCAGCTGAATCAACTTTAGGAGACAGTCCTGGCGCTTGCTGGACTTTCTTGGGCGCCCTGAAGCCTTCTTCACAACAATTGAACCTCTCTCCTTGAAGTTCTTGATGATCCGATAAATGGTTGATTTAGGTGCAATCTTACTAGCAGCAATATCCTTGCCTGTGAAGCCCTTTTTGTGCAAAGCAATGATGACGGCATGTGTTTCCTTGCAGGTAACCATGGTTAATAGAGGAAGAACAATGATTTCAAGCACCACCCTCCTTTTAAAGCTTCCAGTCTGTTATTCTAACTCAATCAGCATGACAGAGTGATCTCCAGCCTTGTCCTCATCAACACTCTCACCTGTGTTAACGAGAGAATCACTGACATGATGTCAGTTTGTCATGTTTGTGGCAGGGCTGAAATGCAGTGGAAATGTTTTTTGGGGATTAAGTTCATTTTCATGGCAAAGAGGGAATTTGCAATTGTAACCCTCTCACCAGGCTCGAATTTGACTCTCACAATATTACCTTATTTAGAATATCTGAACAGCATGGGATATTAGGTGAGAAGGACATCTCCAATAAGAATCCCTATTGTAAACTTGCTAGGGTGAATGACAAATAGGGTATTAACTTCAGATAGAATGATTATAGACTTGGTTATTATTATAAGGATATGCTTTCCTATGCATTAAATGAAACTGAAACAGTAAATGACTCCACCAATACAACAGAAATAAGGTTCAAGATCTATATTAATCAAATTTTCAATGTATTACATCAAAATAAATAAAAATAATAAACCCCAATGATTTTTCCACAACCCATGTCCAAATTATTTGCAAGCTTGCTTAAATCCTGGGCGCGTTGGAGCTCATAAAAAAAAAATGACGACATACATAAAGTCCCGAAGTCCACCCCACATTTGTAGTTACTCACTACTCGTAGATAATGCCTCAGCAAAATATAGTAGTTCCGTGCAGGTGTCCTCACAAGATCCACAGCGAACACAGCTATCAATGCAGCCAGTACTCGGTAGCAGCAACAGACATCCGTTGGAAACCCGAACTCGTTGATCGTCACAAGCAATTCTCTCCAAGTCTTGCACGATGCTAGGCTAACCTCTAGGATGTCGAATGTCTCCACAATGCGACGGCAGCTTCAGTCTCCACTAGGTCTTTCTTAACGAAATAATAAACACTCTCTTATAGAAACAAAATCAGGATTTCCCTTCAAAAAAACTCTGTAGGTATGGTTTTGTTCTCTCTTTATCGTTTCCTTTGGTAGTTTTTCCTTCACCAACCCCACTAACGTCTCTCCTCTCCCTTCTTTCAACCTTTTCCCTCTCTTTTCTTTCCCCGCAACCAGTCCACTCTCCCATTGGCCACAACTTAACAAGTTACCTCATTGGTCAAAACTTTAACGAGATACTTAAAAGTAAACCAACCTATTCACTTGTACATTTTTTTTAAACATTGCTTCAAAAGAAATGCATTAATGACATTCCAAATCAGGAGCTATTCGATCACCTTTTAAATCTAATACCAATGAATTATAACAAATAAACTCTATACTTGGTTTTAGCAAGGTATTACACAATTAATTGCAATTCATCTGATCACTCTTCATAACATTCTGCAGTATATGCAAATTGCCATCATAAAAACTGAGGTAGCAGACTTTGTGAAAATTAATATTTGTGTCATTCTCAAAACGTTTGACCACGACTGTACATGACGAGTTACAGTATCCTCCTGGCCCTGAAAAGACTTCAGTTAACTTTAATTAAGTTGTTTACCAGTGTAAATAAACCATGGCAGTCCTTGAATGATGTCATAGTTGTGTAGTTTTATAGCCCTGTTTATAAGGACTTAGCTAGTAGTCAATGGAAAGTCTTTGTGGCTTGGAACTTGGCTTTTGGTTGAAACTTAAAAACGTTTGCAAGCCACATTTATTATAACCAGAGTTTGTCAGAGACGTAACCTCCTGGATGTAGAGTTGTTATTAACTCCCACCGGTGCCCTCATGGAAGTCATGTCAGCCTTATATTCGAAGCCACTACCTTAGGTGGTTATGGTCTCCAGTAGGAACTACAGTAACTTAGGTGGTTACGGTCTCCAGTAGGAACTACAGTAACTTAGGTGGTTATGGTCTCCAGTAGGAACTACAGTAACTTAGGTGGTTACGGTCTCCAGTAGGAATGCTGGAGAGTGATTCGCATGGATGTAACCTAGAGTTACAGATGCTATACACACACAGCCCAGCTATTTATCAGTTTAATCTCTAACCCCATCACTTCTCCCCCCCCCCCCCCACATATACACAGATCTCTCCATTATTAGAACTGTCCTGGCTATGGTGGGGAAGTTTGGGATCACCGCCTCCTTGTCCATCGTCTACGTCTACTCAGCAGAGATCTTCCCGACTGTCATAAGGTGAGCATCTGACTCAAATGGCACCCTATTCCCTATATATTTTACATTTTAGTCATTTAGCAGACGCTCTTATCCAGAGCGACTTACAGTTAGTGAGTGCATACATTTTCATACTGGCCCCCCGTGGGAAACGAACCCAAAACCCTGGTGTTGCAAGCGCCATGCTCTACCAACTGAGCTACAGGGGACCCTGGTCAAAAGTAGTGCATTACATAGGTAATGGGGTGCCATTTGGGACACACCATCGGAGTGTTCTGCTGACTAATGTGGACTGCTGATGTCTGGGCAGGTTTCCATCAGGATCATTCAGGGATAGAGCATTAGATCACAACATGAGTCTAACCATCCTTGGAGTTAATCCTCTCCCTGACTCTGTCAATATCTCTGTGACCTTAATTTTGTTGTTGAGGGTTGAGACGAGGTACAGTGGCTTGCAAAAGTATTCACCCCCCTTGGCATTTTTCCTATTTTGTTGCCTTACAACTTGGAATTAAAACAGATTTTTGGGGGGGTTGTATCATTTGATTTACACAACATGCCTACCACTTTGTAGATGCAAAATATTTTTTCTTGTGGAACAAACAACAAGTAAGACAAAAAAACAGAAAACTTGAGCGTGCATAACTATTCACCCCCCCCCCCCCCCCCCCCCCCCACAAAAAGACAACCCCCCCCCCCCCCCCCCCCCAATACTTTGTAGAGCCACCTTTTGCAGCAATTACAGCTGCAAGTCTCTTGGGGTATGTCTCTATAAGCTTGGCACATCTAGCCACTGGGATTTCTGCCCATTCTTCAAGGCAAAACTGCTCCAGCTCCTTCAAGTTGGATGGGTTCCGCTGGTGTACAGCAATCTTTAAGTCATACCACAGATTCTCAATTGGATTGAGGTCTGGGCTTTGACTAGACCATTCCAAGACATTTAAATGTTTCCCCTTAAACCACTCAAGTGTTTATTTAGCATTATGCTTAGGGTCATTGTCCTGCTGGAAGGTGAACCTCCGTCCCAGTCTCAAATCTCTGGAAGACTGAAACAGGTTTCCCTCAAGAATTTCCCTGTATTTAACGCCATCCATCATTCCTTCAATTCTGACCAGTTTCCCAGTCCCTGCCGATGAAAAACATCCCCACGGCATGATGCTGCCACCATCATGCTTCACTGTGGATATGGTGTTCTCGGGTTGATGAGAGGTGTTGGGTTTGCGCCAGACATAGCGTTTTCCTTGATGGCCAAAAAGCTCAATTTTAGTCTCATCTGACCAGAGTACCTTCTTCCATATGTTTGGGGAGTCTCCCACATGCCTTTTGGCTAACACCAAACGTGTTTGCTTATTTTTTTCTTTAAGCAATGGCTTTTTTCTGGCCACTCTTCCGTAAGGCTCAGCTCTGTGGAGTGTACGGCTTAACGTGGTCCTATGGACAGATACTCCAATCTCCGCTGTGGAGCTTTGCAACTCCTTCCGGGTTATCTTTGGTCTCTTGTTGCCTCTCTAATTAATGCCCTCCTTGCCTGATCCGTGAGTTTTGGTGGGCGGCCCTCTTTTGGCAGGTTTGTTGTGGTGCCATATTCTTTCCATTTTTTAATAATGGATTTAATGGTGCTCCGTGGGATGTTCAAAGTTTTAGATATTTTTTTATAACCCAACCCTGATCTGTACTTCTCTACAACTTTGTCCCTGACCTGTTTGGAGAGCTCCTTGGTCTTCATTGTGCCGCTTGCTTGGTGGTGCCCCTTGCTTAGTGATGTTGCAGACTCTGGGGCCTTTCAGAACAGGTGGATATATACTGAGATCATGTGACAGATCATGTGACACTTAGATTGCATACAGGTGGACTTTATTTAACTAATTATGTGACTTCTGAAGGTAATTGGTTGCACCAGATCTTATTTAGGGGCTTCATAGCAAAGGGGGTGAATAGATATGCACGCACCACTTTTCCGTTATTTAGTTTATATAATTTTTTCAAACATGTTATTTTTTCAATTTCACTTCACCAATTTGGACTATTTTGTGTATGTCCATTACATGAAATCCAAATAAAAGTCAATTTAAATTACAGGTTGTAATGCAACAAAATAGGAAAAACTTCAAGGGGGATGAATACTTTTGCAAGGCACTGTACGTCATAATCAAGATAACTGAAGGTTACTTACGTAACCCAGTCCTATGAGAATATGGGTTAGATGTCTCACTATGGATATGTCTGGGCGTGTCCACAAACTTGATGTAACCAATCACACAACATCTGTTGGAGATAGACAGGTCGATTGGCGAATGAGGTGACCCCCTCTTCTCCATAAAGGGAGCCACTCATCCGTCAAACTGGTCATTCTCGAGCATGCCTCTCTTCCTTGCGCTCTTGAGACATCTCACTTATATTCTCATAGAACCGGGGTTACGTAAGTAACCTTGAGTTTTATTTCAAAAACTTGTTTTGATGTCTCACTATGTGATATGGCCAACTCCCATTATGCAGACATGCTCTCCAAAGCCAGGGTAGTTCCAACAGCATCACCCCTCAGAGGCTCCGACACTGAGGACAGTTGGCACCATTGAAGGTGCAGTGACGTCCAGTCGGTAGATGTGCAAGTAGAAGCGCAACGCGCAAACTGGACATAAACGTCCCTTCTTTCCTAGAGTTGAAGGGAGGAAGGTGGAAAGCCATAAGCTGTAAGACGAGACAATAGTAATTGCCGCTGACCTTAGGCATAAAGGCGGGGTTGGGTAACAACATTACTTTGGAAAACCCTGGGACAACTATAGGTATGAATGGTGGACTGCAGTGCGTGCAGCACTCTCACTCGCTATGCGGATGAGAGGGTAATCAGCAAAGTCGTCTTGAAAGAGAGATATTTAAACTCCATGCTTTCCAGAGGCAAAAGTTTGCTGAGAAATCGCCTCAAGCACAATAGACAGGTCCAAACAGAGGGCTAAAAGGCTTGGGGATTAGGCGTAAGCGACGCACTTCCTTCATGAAATGTCACACCAGAGAGTGTTACACAACTGTTGTTGTTGAAGCCTATATGACAGGCCGAGAAAGCAGCTAGAGGGACCTAAACAGTGAACTGTTTTTGGTCACACCACTTCTCGCAAACGTGCCATTGTTTCATACAGTGAGTGTGTAGAAGGGGCTCCTGGGTAGTCTAGAAGACTCCGAAGGCAAGTCGCATTCAGATTCTCTTCCTCACAGGCCATGCCCAGAAGGCCATGGTTTCTGAGTGAGGGTGGAAAATCAGTCTGTACGTCTGGGTCAAAATACCCCTGCGTAACAGGACTCATCGTGAAGCATCTGTGTTAGTCCTTTCTTAGCATGGTTAGCTAGCCTTGCAGCTAGCTAGCCAAGTTAGCTAAAGCCTTGCAGCGATGGCTAACCAAATCTCGATAGCTAGCCTTGTGGCGCCAGCTAAACAAAGACTGACGAGTAGAAAATGAATTTGGTTGGTACTCAACACTATCGACAGGAACTGAAGTACTACGTTCGGCAGTGTTAACCTCACTGTTCGCCTGAAAACAGTTCAGTAGGAAAACAAAAATCCAGTCGCACTGAGTAGAGCTTTAGTGAACACAGTCACTTCCGCAAGGAAGAGAGGCAAGAATGACCAGTTTGGCAGGCGAGTGGCTCCCTTTATGGAGGAGCGGGGCTCACCTTATTCGCCATTCGACCTGTCTGTGTCGAACAGACGATGTGTGATTGGTTACTTCGAGCTTGTGGACACGCCCAGGTGTATCCATAGTGAGACATCGAAACAAGTATTTGAAATAGCTTAATTTACCACCTGAGCTGCAAAAATTACTGATACCTTAAGCTAAGATTCGTAATACTTATTGATTGCATTTTATATCGATAGTAAATGTTGCTTGTGTTCTTTTTTTTATGTGGACAGACATCTTTTACCAACCAATGCCAATAATGTCTTTCCTCATTGCAATAGTCAACACTGACTCAATAGGTGTATAAAGGTCTGTTAATTCCTAACCCTAACTTTTGAACTTCTGATAAGGGCTGAAACAACTGTTGCATGAAGTCACAAGATTATTCTGAATGGCTGCTCAGTTAAATGACCTGTCCTGATTTGTCATAGACTCTTGCTGAAAAACTTTAACGAGCAAGCCTTCATGACCTGGTCTCTGTAAATTGGTATAATATCAGCTTGATCCCCTCTGTCAAAGATGCTTGGACCTTCTTTTTTTTATATTTTCAGTGGTATTGTTAACAAGCACACCCTCATAAAGAAAATGAGAATTAAAAACAGGTTCAGCCCCTGGTTCGACCGTTATCTGGCAGAGTTACTCCACCTCAAGAACACCATTTGGCGAAAGGCTCGGCACACAAATATTCAGGCTGACTGACTGACGTTCAAGCAAATGAGAAATAAGTGCACTCAGGCTATCCGGAAAGCCAAAGTTAGTTACTTTAATGAGCAGTTCTTTCTCTGTGGGTCTAACCTCAAGAACTTCTGGAAAACGTTTGTACCATGTTTGTGCTGTTACCATGTTGTGTTGCTGCCGTGTTGTTGTGATGTTGTGTTGCTACCATGCTCTGTTGTCATGTGTTGCTGCCATGTTGTATTGTTGTCTTCAGTCTCTCTTTATGTAGTGTTGTGTTGTCTCTCTTGTCATGATGTGTGTTTTGTCCTACATTTTAATTTTTTATCCCAGCCACCGTCCCCGCAAGAGGCCTTTTGGCTCTTGGTAGGCCGTCATTGTAAATAAGAATTTGTTCTTAATTGACTTGCCTAGTTAAATAAAGGTAAAAATATATATATATATATTTTCATAACATTCAAATCAGATTCTTATGTTTTCCATGATTTACCTAGTGTACATTTCTCTGACCCAAACAACCACAGTAAGAAGGGAGGCAGCAGACTAGCTGAGCAGCTGTTGTTAATTGTTTGGAGATGTTGCGGAACAGGTCTTGATGCACATTCTTAATTACAGTACTGCGACAATGTGAAGTTATTTTGGCTGAACACGTCTCCTCTGTGCTCCACAGGCAGAGTGGGATTGGTATGGGCTCCATGTGTGCCCGGGCAGGGGGAGTCCTGGCTCCCATCATTTACCTGCTGAGGGGTGTCAGTAAGAATGCTCCCATGGTTCTGTTTGGCCTGTGTACTCTGCTAGGGGCAGCCCTCACCCTGCTGCTGCCTGAGACAGCCCACCAGCCCCTGGCTGACACCATTGAGGATGTAGAGGGATCCAGCATCAGGTCTGAATCCCATCTCTATCCATTGAAGGGGAAGAGAGAGAGAATATTCTATTACATAGTATTTAATACTTTAAATTCCTTGGTATTTATTTGTCAATGTTATGCTCTGGAGATACAGCCTTGAAAGCAGGAGTGAACATCTTAGCTTGGGTTAACACGCATTTCAGATTGTACTATAAACTGTTATTACGGTGCTGAACTGGGGTTACCTGTAGGTTCATGTAATGTTAATAGTAATCCAAGGATATCCGCTTGTCTCGTCTAGTGAGGACTCAGAGGAAGGGAACATGAAGCCAGCCCTCTATGAGGAATGTCCAACAAGAAACCCAGACATCATAAACTGAAGAACTAGGAGTGGGACAAGGCACCAGTCCGCACTGATACTTTGAGACCTGTGGTACTGTCATCTGGAGTACTTCTAAGGGAAAATATCATTCCTCCAAGGAACTCAACTGTGCATTGTAAGATATCTGCTAAGAGTGTTTGAACACTTGTAAAGCTATTTCCTATTTCGTACATAAGACATTGATGTCACTGAACTGACATTTTATACAGTTTTGTTTTATATACATTTTTTAATTTGTTTTGAAAATATGTACTATATATTGATGTTTTACTGTGACTATCAGTTCACATTTTGATTGATAATAAAGTACAGTAGTAAAAGTTCATTTATGCACCAAATATCCATTTATCAGATTCTGTAAATACTGTCATGGACACACGAATGCCTTACTGTTCATCATGCATTGTGATTTCGTATAAAGTGCCCACACTGTGAACGAGCATAGATAACAAATTATGCAAACTATCACACATATGCAAGATGAATTGCTAACTCTTTTTTTCTATTTGATAATATAATTTGTTTTACTTGGTGGATTCTGTATTTGACATTCCTAACTCTCAATTTTAGAAGTGAATGTGTTTGAAGTTGATGTTGATCTGTGATCATAATGAGTATTTTAAAAGTGTGCACTCTCCAGCACAGCAGGCTATAGGACAACTGCTCCACAGAATGTTTGTTAGAAAATCATGTTGAAATACTAGCCATCTGCTGGCAGCCTCCTACCAGCCAAGGTGTGAAAACAGCCATGGAATCTCAAGCGCCCATGTAACGGAGTTAAGAACGTACCATAAACTCACTCCACAGCAAGCTTGAAATGTTGCGGATGGAACTATCGAATAAGATATTTTTCGGTGGAACGTTGTCTCGGAGGATGGTGACGTGTGTTGCGAAGCAGAGGATCACTGGTTCGACTCCGGTATGGGGCAGTCGGACACTGGAGGAAGCTAAGCTGTTAGCAGCACACAGACGCCCCAGTACACCCAGTGTCAGCTCCAAGATTACCCAGTTACAGGTCTCTATAGGGTCAGCAGATGAGCTGTGGTGTCTGTAACAAGCACTTATACAAGACAAGGATGCCCTTATACAAGACAAAGATGCCCTTATACAAGACAAAGATGCCCTTATACAAGACAAATATGCCCTTATACAAGACAAAGATCCCCTTATACAAGACAAGGATGCCCTTATACAAGACAATGATGCCCTTATACAAGACAAGGATGGATGGATTGAATGATAAACAGTTATGACAGCGTTACTCCAAGTTAGGAAGCCCACTCTTCATTTACATTACATTATTAACATTTCAGCTGAAGGCTTTCATTCTGAGCGCTTACAGTTAGTGTATAAAGTACACTGAACCGCAGCAATAACACCAGAGAGACAGATCCAAGTTTGAGAACTTTCACATCAAGTGGAGAAGAATAGAAGACTAAAGTTATGACATGCTCTCTCTGTGGTACTTTGGGTGGATCTTATTATTGTTATTACAGTGGATGATTTGACATGCATCAATTGTTCAGTTGTCATTGTAAGGCTTAGGAGAGCAAAGCCACAAATGTTTTGGATGAAACACAGGGTTTGCCTTACAGTCATGTAACCAACCGACTGTAATAGGCCTATATGTTTAGTAACATTGGTCAACAGGAGCCCGTATGTGTTGTGTTAGTGATCACTGCCACTCTCTGGAGGAAAGTGGTACTTGCTTCTTGTCTGACATCAGCTGCTTTATGTAAGTACTGTAATGGGGCACAAGCATGATTACCACAGAGATTGTGTTACAACATGTGCATTTCCTGATTCTGTAGAATCAGAACTTTTATACATTACCCATAATACACTTGTACATATGTATTACAAATTTACAAAACCAAAGTATAACTGGGAAGTTACCCATGATGTGATAATAAAAAAATAATACATTGCATTTGTATAATATACAGTGGGGGAAAAAAGTATTTAGTCAGCCACCAATTGTGCAAGTTCTCCCACTTAAAAAGATGAGAGAGGCCTGTAATTTACATCATAGGTACACGTCAACTATGACAGACAAAATGAGGAAAAAAATCCAGAAAATCACATTTTAGGATTTTTAATGAATTTATTTGCAAATTATGGTGGAAAATAAGTATTTGGTCAATAACAAAAGGTTCTCAATACTTTGTTATATACCCTTTGTTGGCAATGACACAGGTCAAACGTTTTCTGTAAGTCTTCACAAGGTTTCCACACACTGTTGCTGGTATTTTGGCCCATTTCTCCATGCAGATATCCTCTACAGCAGTGATGTTTTGGGGCTGTCGCTGGGCAACACAGACTTTCATCTCCCTCCAAAGATTTTCTATGGGGTTGAGATCTGGAGACTGGCTAGGCCACTCCAGGACCTTGAAATGCTTCTTACGAAGCCACTCCTTCTTGCCCGGGCGGTGTGTTTGGGATCATTGTCATGCTGAAAGACCCAGCCACGTTTCATCTTCAATGCCCTTGCTGATGGAAGGAGGTTTTCACTCAAAATCTCACGATACATGGCCCCATTCATTCTTTCCTTTACACGGATCAGTCGTCCTGGTACCTTTGCAGAAAAACAGCCCCAAAGCATGATGTTTCCACCCCCATGCTTTACAGTAGGTATGGTGTTCTTTGGATGCAACTCAGCATTCTTTGTCCTCCAAACACGACGAGTTTAGTTTTTACCAAAAAGTTCTATTTTGGTTTCATCTGACCATATTACATTCTCCCAATCCTCTTCTGGATCATCCAAATGCACTCTAGCAAACTTCAGACGGGCCTGAACATGTACTGGCTTAAGCAGGGGGACACGTCTGGCACTGCAGGATTTGAGTCCCTGGCGGCGTAGTGGTAGGTAGGCTTTGTTACTTTGGTCCCAGCTCTCTGCAGGTCATTCACTAGGTCCCCCCGTGTGGTTCTGGGATTTTTGCTCACCGTTCTTGTGATCATTTTGACCCCACGGGGTGAGATCTTGCGTGGAGCCCCAGATCGAGGGAGATTATCAGTGGTCTTGTATGTCTTCATTTCCTAATAACCCACAGTTGATTTCTTCAAACCAAGCTGCTTACCTATTGCAGATTCAGTCTTCCCAGCCTGGTGCAGGTCTACAATTTTGTTTCGGGTGTCCTTTGACAGCTCTTTGGTCTTGGCCATAGTGGAGTTTGGAGTGTGACTGTTTGAGGTTATGGACAGGTGTCTTTTATACTGATAACAAGTTCAAACAGGTGCCATTAATACAGGTAACGAGTGGAGGACAGAGAAGCCTCTTAAAGAAGAAGTTACAGGTCTGTGAGAGCCAGAAATCTTGCTTGTTTGTAGGTGACCAAATACTTATTTTCCACCATAATTTGCTAATAAATTCATTAAAAATCCTACAATGTGATTTTCTGGATTTTTTTTCTCTCAATTTGTCTGTCATAGTTGACGTGTACCTATGATGAAAATTACAGGCCTCTCTCATCTTTTTAAGTGGGAGAACTTGCACAATTGGTGGCTGACTAAATACTTTTTTCCCCCACTGTAGTTCTGTTTACACAATGTTTGCTATGCTGTGTGTCATTTCAAAAAGGCCTATAGCCAATGTTGAGGGGCAGCGCAGGGGCTGATAAGATGCCAGTGCTAATAGACTTGTTTTTGGGGATCAACTGCATGTTCGGTGCTCTCTGACTGACTGAGTAGCTGGCACAGAAATGCAGCATATCTATCAATGAGTCGCTGCCAAGGGGACATTAGCAACAACTGGTATTTCAATTAGACTACAACAGAGGATCCCAAGAACAGCTGCAAGTACCCACTACCCATCCCCCCACCACACTACAGCCAGGGAGAGCTGTTGTACGGTACTTTGTCTGTGAAATCTTTGACTAAATATTTAACGGTTGTAGTGGCATTGTCTGTGTTGTGGAATGTACATTAGGCTTACTGTCATTGTACAGCCCAGAAGTGAAAAGATACATTGTCAAAAATTACAGAGACGCTAGTCTGAAACAAGGGTACAGCTGTAGGCACACATTTCCATGGAATATCATGCCTGCACTGACATTTGTTCTGGTATTATGCTGAGAATGTATCAACAGTGTCCAAGGCTCGTTTGTCATTTTTTAAAGGTACATTTACAGTGTGGAATTCCAGTGAAGTTAAATGATTAGGAGTATGCACAGCCCTTTTTCAAGTATGCACAGCCCTTTTTTCATTCCACTTGGACTATGCAGTTACTTGCCAGATCTCTGTTTCTAGAATACAGACACTAGTCCCTATTTCATTGGCATTGGCATCAAATTGAAAACAGAAGTTTCATAAGTGTGACTATGTTTCCATATCTGATCTCACTGGTATTTGAATAATCCAGATCTAATTTCCTGAATTCTATAAAGGTATAATGAGAGATAACTAGAGGGCAGATTGCGTAATATGAACTAGTAATTGTTGGCAGCAGAGGGCGCCCCAACGCAATGATTATCAGAGCGCAGTGTCAACGCGAGAAATCATTGATTGAATTACAAAATCGCACTGATGATGATGATGATGATGATGATGATCATCTTCATAACACTTTGTCCCACAATACAATGTACACTTTTTCCTTGTATTGAGCAGTTATTTTTTTATTAGGCTATCGTCTCAACTATAGAAGTATCCAACATTTGGTATTCGTGTAGGCATGTATGTTAATTGGGCACACAAGAACTGATGCCAGTTTTCCATTTAAACATCACATTTTCCCATAGCCTATCATGTGAAGTAGGCCTGCTTCATCCCTCTATCTATTGATGAACATTCATTATGGGCAGCCATGTCTTGACCTAGTCTAGACCCAAAATGAATCTCATGTCATGAAAATACCTCTAATGCAACAGTCTCGCAACCTCAATAATCTCCAAATAGGCCTAGCCTACTGACTTCATAGCTACCGAACCTGTTTACGATCCCCTGTTCCTCACTACTAGTAGCATTCTCCCATTCTATTGGCTGGCGGTGTTGTCAATC